GGGCTGCATTCCCAAACAACCCGACTCTAAGACAGCACCTCGTGGTGCGACAGGGTCTAGGCCCGACGGGGCTCTCACCCTCTCCGGCGCCCCTTTCCAGGGGACTTGGGCCCAGTCCGCCGCTAAGGACGCTTCTCCAGACTACAATTCAAACGGCAAAACCATTCGATTCTAAGGCTGGGCTGTTCCCATTTCACTCTCCGTTACTAAGGAAATCCTTGTAAGTTTCTTCTCCTCCGCTTATTGATATGCTTAAACTCAGCGGGTAGTCTCGCCTGACTTGGGGTCGCAATCAAAGAGCAAAAACCGGCAGCTTCATACGATCCCGACGCCACAATGAAGCCGAGCAAGGCTGGCAACTATGCACACCTGGCACATCCACCGCACACCAAGACATCAACAAAATCAAGGACAACATTTTCGGCCAACCACGCCCAAGGAAGGGCCCAGGAGGCCAGGATCTATTCCCACTCCACACACGAGAGGGGAGACATAATGCATGACACCCAAGCATACGTGCCCTCAACCGTATCGCATTTTGCTACGTTCTTCATCGATGCAAGAGCCGAGATATCCATTGCCGAGAGTCATTTTTATTAAAAGGATGCAAAGCTCACAGGCAGCATAACTAAGCTCTACGAGGTTGCACACTCATTATTATATTCCTTGGCGCTGCTGCTCCGGTGCTTTTTTTCGTCGTGGGCAAATCAGAAAGACAGCACCCCGACATTCGAATCAATAATTGGTACAGGTTAGCAAGTCATTCTACCGCGAGGGTTCGACAATGATCCTTCCGCAGGTTCACCTACGGAAACCTTGTTACGACTTCTCCTTCCTTTAAATGATAAGGTTCAATGGACTTCTCGCAACGTCACGGGCAGAAAACCACCCACATCACCACGATCCGAACACTTCACCGGATCATTCAATCGGTAGGAGCGACGGGCGGTGTGTACAAAGGGCAGGGACGTAGTCAACGCGAGCTGATGACTCACGCTTACTAGGAATTCCTCGTTGAAGACCAACAATTGCAATGATCTATCCCCATCACGATGAAATTTCAAAGATTACCCGAACCTATCGGCCAAGGCTATACGCTCATTGAATACATCAGTGTAGCGCGCGTGCGGCCCAGAACATCTTAGGGCATCACAGACCTGTTATTGCCTCAAACTTCCGCGGCCTAAGAGGCCGTAGTCCCTCTAAGAAGCTGCCCACGAAGGGATGCCTTCGCATAGCTAGTTAGCACGCTGAGGTCTCGTTCGTTAACGGAATTAACCAGACAAATCGCTCCACCAACTAAGAACAGCCATGCACCACCAATTCTGAAAGAAAAGGAAGGAGACAAGGAACCTGAAAAGAAATCATTTGCTTCCTTCTTCAAAAAGAATAGGTCTGCCAATAAGGGAATGAAGCTGTACAAGATTGAAAATGATTCTGACGAGGTGTTTATCCCTGAAGAGGACACTCTCACTATACAGGATATTTGGGGACCCTGCCTCGTGGGGTGCTTTACAGGTAGATTTCCTGGGCTGAAGGCCATTCAGGAAATGGTGGATGAATGGGGTGTCCCTTGTCAATTTTTACCACATCATAAAGGGTGGATTGTCTTCAAACTCACCACCTTTGAGGATAAAGATTCCATTTTGGTAAAGGAACATAAGGAAATAAATAGTAAGAAGCTGCTGTTGAGCATCCCACAGGAAGACTTCATGTGGAATGCCAAGTCCTTCTCTACTATGCCAGTTTGGGTCAAGCTGCTCGATGTGCCTATGAAATATTGGGCTCCCAGATCTCTCTCACATATTGCTTCTAAACTGGGCACACCACTATATACTGATGGGCTGACTAACTCTGTGGCTTCCAGATTCACTAATGAACCTGAGGATGAAGAAATGGATGATAAGCTGAAATACAAGAAGGTCAATTTCTGCAGAATTCTAATGAACATGGACCTCTCTGTCAAACCTCCAGTGAAGGTTAAGGTCAATGTGGCTGGAGGAAGCTTTATCCAACATGTGGAATATGAAGACATGCCCCATTACTGTTATCAATGTGAATGCTTTGGCCATAATCCCTTTGATTGCCCAGTCCTCCAAGAATTGAACAAGAGGAACCTGGAGGAGGAGGACAGAGCAAGGGAGGAGGCTAGGATTGAAGCCCTGAAAGCCACTATCATGGCAGAGGCAAAATCTGAACTGGAGAAACAACATAAGGATACTGGAACAAAGGCTGGATTTATTGGTGAGAAGAAGACTGGAGGTGGTGATACTGGAAAAGGCAAGAATGGCCTAAACCCCATAATTGATGAACCATCTCCCTCATATACCAATAAGAATGAGGAATTCATCACTGTGGGAAAGGGCAAGTTAACCAACCACCCTATCAAAGAAGGGGTGCAAACAAGAGGTAGGGGACACACAGGTGGACAAAGAGGTGGTGGATTACGTGGAAGAGGGAGGGGCCAGGGCCCTTACCGTTGATGAAGATTCTGTGTTGGAATATTAGAGTCTTAAACAAAGCCTCTAAACAAAACTTTTTGTGTAAATATATTTTTGAACTTGGTGTGCATTGCTGCTGCATTCTTGAAACCAAGTTGAATGAGTGCAAACTCAACCTTTTTGTGAAGAATAAACTGCAGTCCTGGAAGTACAAGCATAATTTTGACTTTGTTGAAGATGGGAGAATGGTAGTGCTGTGGAACCCAGTTTTTGTTAACCTTACCTTTTTGGAGATTGATAAGCAATTCATTCACTGTAATGTGGATTGCCTCATTACTCAGAAAACTTTTGCTTTGTCTTTTGTGTATGCTCTGTACAATGTCAGTGTGAGGAGGGAGCTCTGGGACAAACTCTCATGTATTGGTAATGGGAATATTCCTTGGGCTGTCATGGGGGACTTCAATTCTGTGGCCAGTTCTGGGGAAAGAGTTAACTGCAATGTCCAGGGCTCATACTACATGAAAGACCTCCTCTACTTTAGAATGATGAATGACTTGATGGATGCTAAGGCCACTGGTTTAGAATTTACCTGGAACAAGGGCAGTAAATGAGCCAAATTAGACAGAGTTTTGATCAACCATGAATGGGATGCACTCAGCTGGGAGTGTTGGGCTGACTTCAGGGATATGGAAATTGAGTCTGATCACTGCCCGGTTGTTCTGAACCTGGCTAGATGCTGTGTTAAAGGTGCTCAACCTTTCAAATTCTTTAATATGTGGATCAAACATGGCAAGTTCAAACAGATAGTTCAAGATGTCTGGGACACCAGGGTGGAGGGCACCAGGCAGTTTAGAATTTGCAGGAAGCTGAAACTTTTGAAGCAACCACTTAGAAACCATAACAAACTGGAATTTGGGCATATCTCCAGTAGGGCTACTGAGGCCAGGCAATTGTACACTTCTACCCTGAAGAGGATGATCCTGGACCCCAACAACCCTAACCTTATTGCTGAATCTGAGGCCATTAGAAAGAAAGCTAGCTTTTTGGTGGATGCTGAGAGAGCTTATTATCAACAAAAATCTAAGTGTCAGCTTACTTTGGAAGGGGACAAATGTACTAAGTTTTTTCACTCTCTTTTGAAAAAACAAACAAGTATGAATTCCATTCCATTCATTGTAGACGATCAGGGCAGAACAACTACATCAGGGGAACAAGTGATTGAAGAATTTATTGGTTACTACACCAACCTTTTTGGCACTACAACCCCCATACAACCTGTGAACTGGAGTGTCTTTGGGCAGGGGCCTAGGCTGTCTACTTCTCAAGGACAACAACTTTTGAGGAAAGTGGAAATTGCTGAGGTTAAAGAAGCATTGCAATCTATTGGAAGGGATAAAGCACCTGGCCCTGATGGTTATACCTCAGCTTTCTTCTTGGAAAATTGGGATATTGTTGGAGACAATCTGTATGATGCTGTGAATGAATTTTTCATCAGTGGAAGGTTATTGAAACAAATTAATCATGCTACTGTGGTGCTTATTCCCAAAGTGAATGTGAATCCTAGTGTCAAGGACTTCAGACCCATAGCTTGCTCCAATGTTACTTACAAAATCATCACCAAGATTTTGTCTAACAGGATGAGTAGCATAACCCCAATGATCATTAACCATGCTCAATCTGCCTTTGTAGGTGGTAGAGGATTGGTTGATAATGTACTCTTGGCACAACAGTTAGTTAGGGGTTATGCTAGGAAAAGAGCTCCACCAAATTGTATGATTAAACTGGACATTACCAAGGCTTATGACACAATCAACTGGAATTTCCTTGAAAATGTTCTTTTGGGATTGGGTTTTCCCCTCAGATTTGTGAGGCTCCTTATGGAATGTGTCACCACTGCATCATTTTCCTTGGCAATCAATGGAAAACTTCATGGGTTTATCAAGTGTAAGAGAGGCATACGACAAGGAGACCCCATGGCACCTACTCTGTTCCTTTTTTGTGTGGAATATCTGTCCAGGCTCTTGGGGAAGATGACTTCAGATAGGAAGTTCAGCTTTCATTCTAAGTGTGCTAAACTCAAGATCCATCATATTGCATTTGCTGATGACATCATGATGTTTGCTAGGGGGGACTTGATCTCTGTCAAAGTGTTAGCTGATGCTATTGAAAACTTCACTTTGGTTTCTGGCCTCCACATCAGCCCACACAAATCTAACATCTTCTTGGCTGGATCTATTAAGGACAACAGACAAAGTATACTCAACCTGGTACATTTTCCTGAGGGGAAACTACCGGTTAGATACCTTGGTCTCCCCTTAACCTCTCAAAGAGCTTCTGAGAGGGATTTTGCCCCTTTGATCAGTAAGGTGGATGAAAATATTAGAAGATGGAACACTAGAACCCTGTCTGCTGCTGGTAGGGTGGAACTCATCAGGAGTGTTATACAGGGCATTGAAGGTTTTTGGTTGCAGGAGTACACAAGTCAGTGCTGGACAAGATTACTTCGTTATGTAGAAATTTCTTCTGGGGCAGCAAATTCTTCAAGGTTGCTTGGGAGGATATTTGCAAACCTAGGGAAGAAGGAGGATTATCACTTAGGAATTCTTTGATTTGGAACCAGGCACTGATGGGGAAAAATCTTTGGAATATTGCTGCCAAAAAGGATACCCTTTGGGTACAGTGGGTACATACTGTTTACCTTCTGGATAGGGATATCTGGACTTGGGTCCCAAGGTCAAGGGACCCATACTTCTTCAAGAAGTTGGCACTAGTGAGGGATTTGATTTCTCAGAAGTGTGATTCATGGAGTACTTTGATGAATCAGGAAGAGGTTAGTACAACTTTAGTGTATGATATACTTAGGGTGAAAGGGACTTCAAAGCCTTGGATGTGGATCATTTGGCAGCCCTATATCCCACCAAGGTTCTCTTTTACAACTTGGTTGGCATGTAGGAGAAGACTCCCAACAAAAGTTAACCTCAACTTTATTGAGATGGATAGAACTTGCAGTCTGTGTGATAGAAATGATGAGACAACCCAGCACCTGTTCTTTGAATGCACTACATCGGCACAGATTTGGAATGCAGTGAAAACTTGGCTTAATATTACCCCAGCCCTCTCCACTCTTGAAAGGACTATTAGGTGGCTCAAAAGTAGACATGGAGTACATGGGAACAGAAGGAAGTTGAATAAATTGGCCACTTTGTGCACTGTCTATTACATCTGGAAGTTGAGGAATGCTGTCTATTTTGACCATGAGAGGGTCAATGTTCAGTCTACCATTGAAAAAATCAGGGTTACTGTTTATAGGGTGATGTACCATATCTACCCCAACAGTAATCTGGTTTTTTAATTGTGTTGTGATTTGTTGTCCCAAGGGTGTGATTGTTTATTCCTGTGGAAGGGTGCTTCCTCTCTAGGTGGTGGCTGGGCTACGATTGGGTTCTCCCATGCACATCCTTTGGATGGACATGGAGATGTTTCTGGCCTGGGGAGGGGTTGTTCCATGGAGGTGGCCTTTTGGAAACTTAGTAATCCATTGTTATTCCTCTGGAATGAGTATTGATTACTTTGGGTCCTGGGTGGGGTGGGGGTACCCTGTTTTTGGGGTGGTGAAAACTAGCTAATCTCTGTGTACCCCTTTTGGATATGCAGAGTGGGGTTAGGGTTCTGGTTGGGGTGTTTTACACCTATATTCTTCTTTCCTCCCCTCTCCCCCCCTTCTTTCTCTTTTTTTCTTTCTTTTTTCTTTGCTTCCCTCTCTCCTTTCTTCTTCTTGGACATGAGCCCTGGTATACCTAATTAATCATTCTTCAGTTTGGTTAGGAATATTATGGCTTGTGGACTGGGGGTCTCTTTTGGGGTGGGTGGACCCCTTTATTGGGGTGGTGAAAACAAGTTAAACCCTGTGTACCCCTTTTGGATATGCAGGGATTAACATGGGTTCTGGTTGGGGTGTGATGCACCTTTTCTCTTTCTTTGTTTCCCCCCTGCCCCTTCTTTCTTCCACAGCACTTTCTCTTTTCTCCTCTTCTTGGACATGAGCCCTTGTGTACCTAATCTTTCACTCTTCAGAAAGGCTAGGGACATTATGGCTTGTGGACTGAGCCTTGGGTTTTGTGGGTGGGTTACCCCTTCCTGGGGTGGTGGAAACAACCCTACCCCTGTCTACCCCTTCTGGATATATAAGGAAAGGGTTGGGTCCCTGGTTGGGGTGTTTTTACACCCACTTCTTTCTTTGTTCTCCCCCTCTGTCCCCTTCTCCTTCTTTCTTCCTCTTCCTTGTCTCCCTCTTTTCTGTGTTTGTCTTTCCTTGTTCTTGGATGCTAACCAGACAGCATGCCACCAGTCTTTCTTCTAACTGGCCATGAGGTATGGTTAGGTCCTTTGGCTTGGGGTTGGACTTGGCTTCACCCTGTTCTGTGGTACTTATGTCTTGGCTTTGAAGGAACTTTGATTGCATCTGGGCTTGCTCAAGTGGATTTGCCATCCGGAATACTCTATCTCCCCAAGGTTATCCTTTGACCATTGCTGCCATTACCTATTATCATTTGCATGAGAAAGAGTCTGAGTTTTAAATAGTTGGCTATGGTCACTTCATGTGCCTTGGGGAGACTATAACGCCCCAAAACATACCCTAAAATTTTTAATGAATAAATATTCAATTAGTCAAATTTGTTTCGATTAAAATAAATAGTTATTGGGCTTTGGGCCGAAATGAGATGTGTTTTGATATCCAATATCTTAATCTGGATAAATCTCATAGAGATAAAATCCAATATGTTGAATATTTGTGTGGTCTTGATTGGGAACATGAATAAAGACCCAAATCAAGAATAAATAAAGAAATTAGTTATTTAGTGAACTTTGAAATGATTTATTGAAATAAATCATGGAAATAAATAATATGAATTGAATATGAACACCTTTTTGACTAAAGGTCAATTAAATCAATTTTGACTCTGTCAAAGTCAACCACCCAAAAATATGATGTCAGAAAAAGTGTTACAAATAAATATAAAAATTATATCGTTGGATAGAGTTTAAATGTACGATCACAACGGTGCAAACGGATTTCAATTCGGAGAAAGTTGGACCAAAAAGTGTTCCCCGACTGGGACCAAATTAGTCCCAATCAGGGACTTGCGTTTGGAATCGTAGGAATCGGCCGTCCCCTCCACTGAGACGCCAAAACAGGAGGATTGGTGTCATCCTCCATGTCTCCTTCTCCATTCACCCCACTATATAAACCCTCCATTTCTTCACCATTCTTCACCAAATTTGATCTGAGAGATAGCCTTGAGTGTGGAGAACGCAGTGGTGCTGTCAATTTAGTGTGAGGTCGCCGAAGTTGAGAGTTATTGTCGCCGGAAGTTTTGCCGGAAAATCTTCAAAACCTC